GCCCTCGCAGCTCTGCTGCCAGCTCCCTGGCACCTGTCCCATCCCATAGTAGGCCCCGGCAATGGCCCCAGCCATGGTGGCGATGGTGTCTGTGTCCCCCCCAAGCGAGATGGAATAGATAAGAGTCCTCTGGAGGCTGTTGAAGGTAGAGGGGATCTCGGGGTCCGGCTCCATGCAGCGCAGGAAGCAGTAGATGGCGGTGGGCACAGATTCGAAGGCAGCGATGCCATTGCCTGTAGGGAAGCCAGCACATGGGGACCCCACACTCCCCCACCCTCTGTGTCCCCAGGCTTCTTCTGGCCGCGTGCCCCAAGTCAGTGCTCTCAGTTTCAAGCCGGGCTGTGGTTCGGAGCACAGGCTCTAGAATTAGACTACCCAGGCTCAAATCCCGGCTCTCCATCCTGCTAGTACGGGGCTGGGCAAGTTCCCTCGCGGCCGAGATTCCGGTTTCTGGGATTCGACTCCTCGGGCAGAGAGGGAATAAAGGCTGGTGTGGGGGTGAAATGAGCCACAGGCAGAGTGTCCTGTATGCTGCCCGAACACAGCACAGGTACTCTATAAACAAGCACCAGGGGTCAACATGAACGGTCAAAACTAGTGGCCACCTGCCATTCCTGGGGACACTGAGCTGTGAGGCCGGCAGCGTGGCAGCCCTGGTAACCCCAGCAAGGAGGCGCTGTGTTCCCGACCCTGCCAGGGACTGCAGCCGCGGGCAAGAAACGCGGCAGCAGGCGTGCCCCAGGCTCCCGTCCTTCCCGAAGCCCAGGACTCGCCCTGAGGATGCCGGGTGTGAGGGTCTACCCACCTAGCTCGGACACCACCTCCTCTCTGGTCACCGAGTCCTGCTCTAGAAGAACACCAATCTTCTTCAGTCGGCTGGAGTAGGGACGCTCCTCCATGCCCAACCTGTGGGTCGGGGGCGAGATTTCAGGGAGGTCGGAGCCAGCAGGCAGGGGAAGGGGTGTGGGAGGGGGAGGCGGGGAGGTGATCAGGCTGACACCCAGCACTGGTGTCCTGACAAGTAGTAGGAGAGGGCTAGGTGTGAGCCGCTCGTCTTACTCTCTGGTACCCTAAGAGCCTTGGAGTAGAGTCAAGGCAAAGGGGCTCCTCCCACCCCTCCTCAAAGTCTGCAATTAAAAAAGAAAGGTTTCAGCTTGTGGAGATGCCAGAGGACCCCACAACGCATGCACACCCACACACGCCCTTCCAGCCTGCCTCCTTCCCATACTCACTCCCTGGCATCTGAGACGGACTGGGCGTCACTCTCCAGCTCTTCCATGTGGCCCAGGAGTTGTTCGAGGAAATGTTCACTCGACGACTCCCCCTGCAAAGCCAGGTGCACGGCCAGGGCCTGCAGGATGGCGCCATTGTAACCCAGGGAGGAGGCGTGTGTCAGCTGGGCTGAGAGCCGGGCAAACTAGGGCAGAGGCAGTGGGAGCAAAGACGTGCTGTCACAGAACCCGGGCTGCAGAGACGAGGGAGGAAGGGAAACGCCCAGCAGCCAGCCCGCCTGGACTACCTTCTGCACATCCTGGACATCGCTATAGGCCAGGGAGATGCCGGCCACCCGCATGGCACCCCCGTTGCCATATGAGCCTTTCCCGTTAAACTGGGCCCGGGCGGGCTCAAAGACATCGCGGCACTTGGGGCTCAGGAGCTTCTTGAAGACAGTGATCACTCCAGCGCCGTAACCCCGGTCAGGCTCCTTCTTATACTCCTGAGCGAATCTAGGGGAGAGAAGGGAGACAGGATGCGGGCTGAACAGATGTGTGCTGGGGCCCGAAGAGGAGAGCTCTGGCTGGTCCGGGAAAAGCAGCAGCCTCAGGGCCCTAGGGATCCCGTAGTAGCAGTGCTGCCCCTTCCGCCCTGCCGAGGGGGGCGCCCAGCACGACCCACCCACATCATCGCTCTGGGCAAGAAGTACGGTTACTCGGCCGACCCGCTTCGCCTCCCCCCAGGACCGCCCCCCCTCACCTGTGAGCCATGTCCACCTCGTCGAAGGCCTCCTTGGCCAGCAGGGACTGCACCAGGGCCCTGGCCATGGCCGTGTCATCTGTGTAGTACAACACTTCTGCAGGGACGGGGTGGGGGGGGAGGGGGAGACCACGCTGCAGGGCTCGAAGGTGGAAGCTCCGGCCACCCCCCCTTTTTAAGGAAGCTCTATACCCAGTGTGGGGCTTGAACTCAGGACCCTGAGAACGAGGTACATGCTCTACTGACCGAGCCTCCCTCTCTCCCGCCCAATTTCCTGGGTTCCGGGCCTGGGGATTTTCAGTAATTCTTTATTCCGAATCAGTTATAATGACCTGCTGATTTCTGAAGGAAAATCTTCTGCCCCCCTCTGACTGCCATGACCGTAGCTCTCCTGCACCACCCTCCAACCCAGCTTGTATGTGCAGCCAGAAAATTCTTCCTAAAAGCGACTATCCCTTTCCTCATCTCACTCTCTTGCTCTACATCGCTGTCTGTTGCTTTCAGGATTAGGCCAAATTCACTGCCTTGGCCTTCAAAGCCCTTCCCTGTTACATCCCACCACTCCCCTCCACATCCCCAGAACCAACCTTGGAGCCTGGCTCAACAGCCCCCTCCACCTGCCCCACTCTTTTTTTTTTTTTAAGATTTTATTTATTTATTTGACAGAGAGAGACACAGCGAGAGAGGGAACACAAGGAGGGGGGAGTGAGAGAGGGAGAAGCAGGCCTCCCGCTGAGCAGGGAGCCCGACGCGGGGCTCGATCCCACGACCCGGGGATCATGACCCGTGCCAAAGGCAGATGCTTAACAACTGAGCCACCCAGGCGTCCCAAGCCCCGCTCCTTCTGGGTGCCCAGGACTACCGCTCTGGCACTTTGGACAAGCAATGCCGGTTATATGAAGATGTCCCACGTAGGCTGTGAGCCAGCAACGGACCGGTAGCACTTGGTTTTACTGAAGGAAGAGATGGCTACAGAGAAGGAAGCACACTCCCTAGCGATCCCCCACCCCACTCCCACTCCTCTGTGTACCACAAGCCCCCTGCCCCACTTTCTCCCCTTCACTCTTAGGGGGCTCCTAAGAATAGGGCTCTAAGCGGAGCTCCTAAGAGGGGCTCCTCTGGCTTTACTAGTTAGAGGGGTGGACAGGCCTCTTACCCACAGCCACACTCTCTTGTCACCTCTTGACCAAGTCAGTCCCTCCTTCCGACCACCCAGCCCAGCTCCCCAGCGGATTTGTTCTTCCTCCCTCTCCTCTCCTGTCCCCTCAACCTCTCCCTGTGTGGTGGAGTAGCACCCGTGCTCCCTTCGTTTGGTCCCTGAATCCTGCTTTCCCCCAGGGAGCCACTTCTCTATCATTCTCAGCCCATGTTATTGGGGCATAAGGTTCACACCACCACTAGCCTCCTCAAATAGCACACCCTACTCCTTTGTTCAGGGATGGACAGATGGCCAAGCCAGGCCGAGGAGATGCAGTCTGGGATTTCTGCTGGGGCCGCTGCAGACAGACTCTTCCTCTGCTGGAGCTGCTGGGACCACCCCATGGGGAGGGTCTGCCAGAGAGAGTGAAGTCAACCTGTCAGAACACGGATCTGAATAAGGAGGGGATGGGGCGCCTGGGTGGCTCAGTCATTGGGCGTCTGCCTTCGGCTTGGGTCGTGATCCCTGCTGTGTGGAGAATGGGCTGGCGGTGCACACGGGGGACCAGGCGCAATGCCGGGGAATGACGCCCGGGTCGCCGGCTTGCACGGCCGAAAGGACGGGCTTGCCAGGCCCCCAGCCGGGAACGTTGCGGGCGAGACGAGCGAAGCTGGGGCTTGGACTCTGACGCGCTGGGTCCGAGCTGCCCGCGGCTCCTCCAGACCCGGCCCCTGCAGCAGCGGGCAGCTTCACCTCCGACGCTTTTCTCTCCCGCCCGAGCCCCCGGGGACCCCCGGCCAACGCGTCCGCACGTGCACCCGGCCCCGCCCACCTGTCCGCGCGCTCCCCGGCGAGCCCGGGTCCGGCTCCAGGCTCTGGACGTGACGCAGGACTGACGTCAGGGTGACGGTGTCGTGCGCCTCGTAAAAGGAGCCCACGCAGTCCCCGAGCAGCGCGCCGGCCAGGCAGCCTCGGAAGCGGGAGAGGGAGCGGGCCGCCCCAGCCCCCGCGCAGCCCGCCGCCGTCATCCCCGCCGCCGCCGCCATCCGCGCGGAGCCGCCGCCACTTCCGGTACGGCCGGCGCGCGCCGCACGACAGCGCCCCCCCGCCTCCGCCGGCCCCACAGCGCCGCCCAGCGTCCCGGAGCCTCGATGCCTCTCTGCGCCCACAGCGCCGCCCAGCGGCCCGGAGCCGCAGCTCCCGCGTCCTGCAGCACTGGCGTGGGCCAGGCCTCTGCTTTTAGCCCCATTCTCCCCACCCGTAAGCGGCTCACAGACGGGCGGGATGGCCACTGAAGGGTCCCCGAGGTGAGAGGAGGGCCCGAGCCAGACCATCGGACCCTGGCAGTCCTGCCCTTCAGGCCACTGTCTCCGTTCCCCCCTACCCCCCACTCCCTGTGGCCTGCATTTAGCAAGCCTTGCTCTGGGCCCCAGCAACCTCCGCCCTCCCGCCCTCCCATGGCTGCCCCAGCCCTTGGCTCCCTCAGGCTTGGGCCCCCACCCCCAAGCCCTCCCACTGTGATCCTAGCCGCGTCTGCTTCCCCCGGGCCTCCCCTAGGCATCAAGAGGGCAGGCAAGGGTCCAGCTGGAGCAGAGCTGGTGAGAGGTCACGCTGCTAGAGCCGGGCGGATGCTGGCCTAGCCCAGAGAGGAGTTCCCTGAGGAGGGAGGAGGGAAGGAGTCAGATTTAGAACATGGAGCTTGAGGGATGATGTTCCCCAACTTTGCTCCTCCATACACAGGAAACCAAGAGCCCTGTCACTCCCTGCTGGCTATATGCAGGGAGAGCAGAAAGCCGTTTGGACTGAGAACCACGTTTATTAGATTCATTCTCTCCACCCCCCACCCTCTTCCATCTCCCATCTGACCTTTCCCTCATCCCTCAGCCCCCCAAGACTAGACCAGCTGCAGCTGGCAGCTTTTGAGTGGACTCAGGGTGCGGTTTGTGGTGCGGGTGAAGGTGTCCACCTGGGGCACAAACTTCTCCGCAGGCACAGTCAGCTTCCTGCGCGTGTCCATGCACTTGGCGTCCAACAGCATGGAGTTGGCCTTGCAGTCAATGTCAGCCTGCAGCCGGGCCAGGTGCTTGTGGAGAGCATCCAGAGCATCCCTGGGGAGGAGGCATGAACAACCCGTCACCCCTGCCCGACGCCAGGAGGTCAGGGCTGAGCTCACTGGCCTTCAGTTAGGAAGACATCAGAGAAGCCAGCAGGCAGCAAAAGGCCCCATGGGTGGCAGGTGTCTCCCGTCGCCTCCTGCCCACTCCCCAAACGTACTGTGCCTGGGCCAGCTTCTGCTTCAGGGCAGCGATGGTTGCCTCTAATTGGTGAACCTCGTCAGTGAGGCCATACTGTGCCTAGAGGCAGAAGGGTGGGTTGGGAGGCCCAGGTCAGCCTATGGGCTTGGATCCTGCCCTCCATCAGCACGCCTGCTCCGCCAGGAACAAGTGCTGGGGCGTGATCCTGAGGAAGCCTGAGTGGGGGGCCCGTGCCCCACAGGGGTACCCTCGCACCTGGTCCCGGCAGAGTTCCACATTGGGCCGGTAAGTTCTGGACTCTAGCCGGGTATGGCACAGCTTCAGGTTCTGTAACTTTCTGCGCAGATCCTCCTCCAGGTGCCGGATGCCCTCCTGCAGCTCAGCGATCTCCTCCAAGGTCTGCAGGGACAGAGTGACTGGTCTCCACCAGCCGAACCCGCTGTGGGGCACCCAGTCCGGGGCTTCCTGGGGGCTCTCATCCCACAGGAGGAGCCCCGGGCCCCAGGGACTACGCAGAGAAGGCTCACATTCTTCTCCTGCCACCTGAGCTCACTGTACACTTTCTCCATCTCCCGCAGCCGCTTCCTGAAGGCAAAGTCTGTGGCCACCCTCTGGGCTTCGAGCTCATTGTTGGTCTGAAGGACAGGGGAGGCAGGGCAAGGGGAGGCATAAGCTCGTGGCCATCTGAGGAAATCGCGCAAGTTGAGGGGGGGTGATGCCACATGGCCAACAGGGAACCCTCGGGCCACCAGCCGGCCGTGGAAGAGCAGGGTGTGGGAGGGGTCAGTCACCTCGGCAATAGTTAGGGCCATGGCCTCCCTCAGCTCTACGGCGGCTTTCATCTCGGTCTCTGCCAGGTTCTTGTTGAACTGGCTGAAGTCGTCCCACTGCTGGAGGGTGGAGGAGCTGCGAGGGGCAGGAAACACCGGGCTCAGAAGAGTGTGGGCTGTGAGGTGGGGAGGAGAAACGGAGTGCAACACTTCTTACCCGCTGGGGACACGCATGGGATTAGCCTTCAGAGAGATGTTTGGGGACTTGAGGTTGAGAGAGAGGCAGCCTCTGTCGATGTCCAGTGTCTCCATTTTGTCCCGATGGTCAGAGCTGAGCTGCTGTCGGACCTCCTGCAGGAGGCTGGGGAGGGAACAGACTCGATCAGGATCGTGGTCCGGAAGGGACACTGAGGGCTGGGCCAGCTGGGGTGACCGTGGAGCAGAGCGTGGAGCAGCAGCAGAGACAAAGACCGGCAGAGCTGGAGGGGCGCCCTGAAGACAAAGTGGGGGCCCCCGCCGGCTTGCACGTGCCCGCGGGGGCACCTGGATGTAGCTACACTCACTGAGGCTCACACATACACACTCGCGAGAAGGTACTCCGGGTGGTGGCAAATGGGCTTCACGTCTCGTGCTTCCAATCAACTGATAACGGCTGCCTAAAGCAGGGTGGTGGGAAGTGTTCTGAGACCGTGTCCAGGCGGTGGGCAAAGAGCTATAGTCAGTTAGTGGTTTCTGGGTGGGCACCGCGGGGTCAGAAGGCAGCCTGAGAGCCAGCTGCTCGGTACCCACAACACGTTTCACATGTAAGACATGCAGCCTTGGGGCCCCTGGGTGGCTCCATCGGCTAAGAATCCGACTCTCGATTTCGACTCAGGTCGTGATCTCAGGGTCGTGGGATCGAGCCCCGTGTCAGGCTTTGTGCTCAGCACGGAGTCTGCTTTTCCCTCTCCCTCTGCTCCTCCCCCTGCTCTCTCTCTTTCTCTCTCAAATAAATAGATTTAAAAATCTTAAAAAAAAAAATAGGGGTGCCTAGGTGGCTCAGTCGGTTAAGCATCTGCCTTCGGCTCAGGTCATGATCCCAGGGTCCTGGGATCGAGCCCCGCACTGGGCTCCCTGCTTGGCGGGGAGCCTGCTTCTCCCTCTGTGCTCTCTCTCTTTCAAATAAATAAATAATATCTTAAAAAAAAAAAAAAGACATGCAGGCCTCAAGTGCAGGTGAACATGGGAATGCTAGATGCTCCCTTACCAAAGCTTCTCAAAGGCCTGGCTAATCTTTTGTTGCAAGGCCTTCTTGGTGGCATCAATGACCTCCACCTCTTTGTGCAGCTCTTCCTCCACAGGATCCTTCACCACATCAATGTCGCGCCGACTGTCCCTCAAGGTCAGGCACTCGATTGCTACATCCAGAGGCAGGTTCTTGGCCTGCAGGTTTTGCTCTGCCGACTCCTTCATCTAGAAAAGAGAGGGCATGGGACACTAGTGGGGCCATCGCTGGGAAGCAGCTCTCCTCCCCACTTTAGTGGAAGGGCAGTGAGTGACTCAGGTGGACATGCCACCCAATACCCCCATCAAGGGTGCGCTGACCCTGAAGTGGGGAGGTTGGGGAGGTCCTGGCTGCAGGGTCTCCTGGCACCCTGTCCTGGCTCCCTGCCTGGATTAGGGCGTCAATCTCAGCATCTAAATCCGTCAGACACTTGTCCAGCATCTCCTTCCAACGGTTCACAGTATCGATCCTCTCCGCCAGTCGAGTCCTATTGTCATGTTCATCCCAAATGGTCTGGAAGAGACAAAGCCAGATAAAGAGGGTGTGGGGTTGGGGCTCTTCCTCTGCCCACCCAACGAGGCTCTGGCCTCCAACCTGGTTGTTGGTCTCATTGCGGAGGACCTGGGCTTCCTGGCGGATCTGGTGGGAAGCATCTCGCTGCCGCTTGGCGTTGGTGGACAGCAGGTAGCTGTTGGTGTTCCAGTCTGGCAACCGGAAGCGTTGACTGGGCTTGACGCTCAGTGTGGCCATGGCGCAGGGGTTGAAGGGTCAGAACACCCTAGGCCTGTTCCAATCACCCACCTCCGCTGGAGAGGGAAAACAAGGCAGGAGACCACTCAGGAAATGCTGTCCTAGATCAAAAGCCCTCTCCAAAGAACATGCTCCTGTCCATTTTGCTCCAAGTCCCTTCCTGCAGGAAGCTGGCTTGGGAACAGCCCTGGCTTTACTCAGCTTTGTGGGAGGCATCCACTAAGTCTCCTCCCACCCATCCATCCACAGACACAAACTCCTGGACCCTGCAGGTTCCAGAACAGGTGAAAGGGAACCATGGAGTCCATTGGGGTGTGTGTGTGTGTGTGTGTGTGAGTCCATTGGGGTGTGTGTGTGTGTGTGTGTGTGTGTGTGTGTTGCCAAGCCCTTGGTGGGGCTGGTCGAGGCGGGGGGGCGGTTAGCAGGAAAAATTGCCCTTAATCCAGTTTCCACCCCTGCTTCCAGGCAACCAAGTCTTGTGGAACCTTCTTTTCTTTGTTCGCCCCAGCTTTGGGCCAGGACCCTGGGGATCTAAGAGAAGGAGCCCTGTTCTCCATCCAGGAAGAGAACGAGCTAGCTCTGAGGGGACAGGGGTTGGCACCAGGGAGTTGGGGGGGGCGGCTGGCTCCCTGCCCATTTGGTCGTCCCACCCCCCTCCCCGCCCTCTGTGGGAGGAAGGAGGGCGGGTGTGTGAGGGTCCCCCACTGGGAGGAGCTGGGGTCCGTCTAGGTCCAAGCCCAGCCCTCCCCTCCCCTCCGCAGGAAAATCGTCTTTGGTTTGAATTAATACCCCCGCGCAGGCGCCGAGAAAGGAGGAGGAAGGGGAGACGGAGGGAGCTCGGCCTGGGAGAGAGCCCCCCACCGCCCCGCTCTTCTCTGCCTCTCACCTCCAGCCCCGCTCGCACTTCCGCCCTGCGTCCCCAGCTCCTCTGTTCGGCGCCCCCGGTTGCTAGGCACCGGCGCTCCGCCCGCGCGTTACCTCGGCTGGTGTTTGGCTTGGCAAGCGCGCGGCGGCGCGGCGGCCGGGCCCGGAGGCCCTAGGGGTAGGAAGGCGGCGGGGGCCGCAGGGCTGGGGCGCCCGGAGGGGGCCAGAGGAGGAGGGCATCGGGATGTCGCGTTCGCTCCATGTACACGTTAAACATTTGTATTTTGTTATAAGTTATGCATCGACAAGGTAAAAAAAAAAAAAAGTGCACAGTACATAGAAAAAGTAATCTCCCGCTCAGGCTCACTCCTCAGCAGATATGCTTCCAGAAATGTATATGTATTTAACATTATTGAACACATTCCTTTGGTCCTGTCTTGCCCAACATTTGCATCCATCTGCTTGATGGCACAGAAGGAATGATGCTTGTTTTTGGAGAGGCCGCATCCCTGGGCGAGGTAACTGGGGTATTAGAAGCAAAGCTCAAAATCCAGCCTTTTTTTTTTTCCTTGTTTTAAGGTTTTTTTGTTTTTTGTTTTTTATTCCACTATGGTTAACATACAGAGTTCTATTAGTTTCAGGTGTATAATATAGTGATTCAACAATTATATACATTACAAAATCCAACCATTTTTTTAGAAGATTTTTTTTATTTTAGAGAAAGCAGTGCGATTGGGGAGGGGAAGAGGGAGAGGGAGAGAAGCAGTCTAAGCGCTGAGCCGGAGCCGGATGCCCGATGGATCTCATAACCTAAATCGTGACCTGAGCCGAAATCAGGCTTAACCGACTGAGCCACCCAGGCGCCCCCAACCATTTTTTTTTTAAGAGGAGGAAAAATAATTCAACCACGCCAGTACTATCCTAGGCCTTGGGAGATGTTAACATTTAATATTCATAACTAATAGGAGAGGTAGGCACTATCTCGGTTTTCGCAGCCGAGTAAAGACTGGCTCTGCAGAAAGGCGGGGATGGAAACTGAGGTCCCACTTTCTCTCTGTTAGGACTCCACACTGCCTCTAGTGGTGGCTCTGGAAACCGAGAGGAAAGCTCTCCCCCGCCAGGCTGGCCGGGTCCTCTTCTGAGGACTGTGTTGATGGTAGGAGGTGGGTGCTATTACTGTGTAGGTCTTACCTGCGAGAGAAGTGAGGAACGTGCCCAGGGTCACATGACTAAGTGGTAGAGCCTGGACTCAAACCCACGCAGTCTGTCCCAGAGGCCAAGTGCAGGGTTGATAGAGGATGGAAAGAGAGAAGTTCCAGAAGAGTCCTCAGTTTTAACATCCCAGTGATTGGTGGGATGCTGTGATCCTCCACAGAGGAAGGACAACCAAGGGGCTTGGTAGGCAAGGGGAAGATGACGTTGGATTTTAAGAAGTTTGAGGTGCTTGTGGTGGATCCAGGTGCTGCCCAGCAGGCAGTTAGAAATCTGAGTCTGAAGCACTCCAGAAAGACTGAGGCTAGAACATTTCCCAAACTTCCTGACCACTGATGTTTTTTTTTCCCCCTCAGAATATTTTCTAGGGGCTCCGCGGTGGCTCAGATGGTTAAGTATCTGCCTTCAGCTCAAGTCATGATCTCCAGTTCCAGAGATGGGAGTCCCACATTAGACACCCAGCTCAGCAGGAGTCTGCTTCTCCCTCTCCCTCTGCCTCTCCCCCCTGCTTGTGCTCTGTCTCTCTATGTCAAATTAATAAATAAAATCCTTTTTTTAAAATAATATTTTCTAAACTCTAATACATGTCTCACAAAGCAGACCTGCGTGGGACTTTGTGATGTTGTTCTTTTACTAGGATTAAGGAAGACCAAAAAAAAGTTTTTGGACAAATGAATTGCTGGAAGAAATGAAGAAATTTTAGTTTATGTTTTGAAACATTTTATAACAGAAGTAAATAAATGTGGCAGAATGGTGGTGGTTTTGGCATATATCTGTGGCTATGGTGGTGGGCTTGGTGTTCATGACTCATGATGTTCCTACACATCCTGGCTGAGGGAAGAAGATATTAGCAGAAAAGGTCAGGCAGCTGATGGACTGGACCAGAAAAACAGAGTGATAAGAACGAGTGATGCCATGTTCTATCATTTTGTACTAGAAACACCAAGAAACTATTATTGTGATGTTTACCACTCTACAGAAGTTTGGATCATGTGTAATCGCAATAGTGCTAGGGCTCCTGGGCGGCTCAGTCAGTTAAGCGTCTGCCTTCGACTAGGGTCATGATCTCAGGGTCCTGGGATGGAGTCTCACGTTGGCATCTCTGCTCAGCGGGGAGTCTGCTTCTCCCTCTCACTTTCCCTCTGTGATTTCCCTCCCTCTCTCTCTCAAATAAATAAAATCTTTAAAAAATATGCAAAGGTGCTGCTGAAGAATTTCAGATCTTGACAAATTCCTGGCAGCACTCCAGTGCATTCAACAAGGTATTTTTTGTAATGGTGAAAAGCCATTTCATTATGATGAAAGCCCCGAGGCCTTTCAGATACACCAGTTGATGTCAGTTCCAAGTGTCCTCCACTTGGAAGGACTGTCCACCATTTCATTATGATGAAAGCCCCGAGGCCTTTCAGATACACCAGTTGATGTCAGTTCCAAGTGTCCTCCACTTCTCTGCTAAGAGGAAATTTATGTTGGATGACGTTTACCATTTGGAGGGAGGGGGTATCACAGCTGAGCATGTGGCTGAATGGGTAGCTGAGAGAACTGAGAGAAGAGAGACCAACATCAGCCTCAGAAAGCCTACAGATTATCACGACCCCTTCAAGCTGGGGATATTTTTGGCTTTTATTGGTGGACTTGTGTATTTATGGAAATGGAATAGGAAATTTATTTTTAACAAAAACTTGTGGGCAGCTTTAGCTCTGTGTTTTGTGATTATGATGACATCTGGTCAAATGTGGACTTGTATAAAAAGAGCCCCATATGCTCAAAGGGATCCTCGAACAGGACACATACATTATATCCATGCAGTGGGTTACTCTCAGTATGTGGCAGAAATATACATCATTTCTCTGTTTATTGTGTGCATTATCCTGGGAATGGTGCTCATAGATAAAGCAGCCACATCTTGCTTGAACATTATAAAGAGGAAGATAATGAGCTCAACTGGCACGTGTCTAGTTGTATTCTTCTGTTGGCTGCTCTTTGTCTTCAGAGTTAAAGAACCTAAGTATCCACTCCACATTCTCATGGGTTTTAAAGGATCCTAGAGATATAGATAATGAAGCAAGACATTTTTTAAAATGTGAAAAAAAAAAAAAAAACCATGAAAGAGAAGAATGTGAACTCATAACTTTTTTTAAGTGATTGAGATTTAGCCACAGGAGACATGGAGTGCTTTGGCAACAACAAGCCATTTTCTTTCAAAATCTGTGAAGTATGATAATATATATCTTCTCTGTTCTCAATTTTCTCCTCCCAGTAAGTGTCAGAGATTACCGAATTTAGTGAATTCCGATGATTCAGATCCCCAGAGAGGTACAACTTCTATCCAACCAGAACAATGTCTAAAAGGATTTTAATTGCTAGTTGGTCAGCTGACCTTATTCTAATATGAAAAATAATACCTTGATAAGGTACCCCCACATCTAGCTACTGAAGATAACTATATTGCCTCTCCTGGAGGTGTATCTTGCACAGCCAATTTTGTGTGTTGTCTTCTGAAGCCAAAGTATCCTTCTGTAGAATGCACTTCCAATGCCCAGAGGCAAATACAGTATGTCTTAGTACTCTTGCCCAAGTCTTTCCTAATGAGGTGTGCTATTTTGCTGCTTGATCATTGTAGACTTTATAAACTAACTGATTACCAGACTATAATTTCTCCATGATTGTTAACTTCCTTTTCTCTGGAGACGCTTCACATAAATTATCTTTCCCTGTTTTTTCTTTCAAGTGGCTAATCTCTAACAAAATAGCAGTTCCCATTTTGGTGTTGACTTGAGGTTGTTTTCTATTTAATTTAAATCTAACAGGAAAATGGGTGTAAAGACAATTCACAGGATGAATGATAATTTCGTTCATCTTTTCCTATTTAGTAGCATGCGAAAATATCAGTTATTTCCAATATGCAGAAATACCAAACTGAACATCTTAAAAGCTGTTCTATTTCAGCCTGTCTTCCCTCTTAAGCGGAAAAACAAAGTACAAATTCAAAGACTTTTTTTTCCCACTATCTTCTTTCTTGTCTTACGTCGATAATCAAAGTTAAGTCCTAAACAGCTCACTAACATGCCTGGCAGATGACAGCGAAGACTGAAGTTGAGGTTTGCTAGTGAATCAAATTCTGGCCTTCCCTCTGGAAACTGCTGTTTTAGACATGTGACAACTGTGCTTGTGCAAATGTTTTTCAAGCAACAACTTGGTGTCACATTAAGAGTTTTGCTTTAGGGGCGCCTGGGTGGCTCAGATGGTTAAGCGTCTGCCTTCGGCTCAGGTCATGATCCCAGGGTCCTGGGATCGAGTCCCACATCGGGCTCCCTGCTCCTTGGGAGCCTGCTTCTCCCTCTGCCTCTCTCTCTCTCTCTGTCTCTCATGAATAAATAAATAAAATCTTTAAAAAAAAAAAGAGTTTTGCTTTAAATTGGGACTGACTTTGGCTATGTATATAGTTAAGTAACTACCCTCCTCCAAAGTCTGGTGGAAGTTCTTGAGGTTTTATACAAGAATTGTTTGCCAGCAGAGTTGGGTATCATTGTCCCAGAGTAAATTATTATTATTATTATTATTTTTAACGTAAGCTCTACGCCCAACGTGGGGCTTGAATCAAGAGTTGCATGCTCTATAGACGAGCCAGCCAGGCGCCCCCTACCTTTTTTTTTTTTTTAAACACAGAGTGGGTGGAAATACTTGACCTCTCTCACTTCAGGTATTTTTTTCCTTTGCTTGTACATTACTCCAAAGGGAACTGCTTGATTCTAGGCTTTTTCCCCAGTTTATTTTCAGCTGGCCTTGCACCTGTCTTGAGATCGCCAGGGC